AAAAAGCAAAAATAAAAATAATAGAAACACAGCAAATGAAAATTTTAGAACTGAAATAATAATAAATAAATGCAACTGAAATAAACAAATCAATATGAATATGACTATGAAAGAGGAAAGAATCAATGAACTCAAAGATAGAACAATAGAATTACTCAGGATGAACAAACAGAGAATAGACTGAAAAGAAATGAACAATTTCAGGAGCCTGAGAGATTATAATAAAAGATTTTACATTTATATTATTGTAGTTCAAGAGGAATAGAAGAAAGGGTATGGGACTGAAAAGGTGTCCAGAGAAATTCTGGCTGAAAACTTCCCAAGTCTGGTGAAAGATACTAATCTACAGATTCAAGAAAATGAGCAACCCTAAACAGGAGGAAGCCAAAGAAATTCACATCAAGATGTATCATAATCAATGTTCAGAAAAGAAAAAAATCTTGAAAAGTGTCAAGAGAGAAATGGCCCATTGTCTACAGACTTCCCATCAAAAACCAAGCAGGCCCAAGGGAACAGGTACAACACTTTTCAAAGATTGAAAGAAACACTGCCAACTCAGAATTCTGTACCCAGCAAAAATATTCTTGAAGAATGAAGATGAAATGAAAATATTCTAAGAGAATTTGTCACCAGCAGACAAAAGGTGGAGAAATTTCTTCATACAGAAAGGAAATGATAAAAGAAAGAAATGTGAAATATTAGGAATGAAGAAACAACTGGGAAAGAATTTTAAAAATGTGGGTCAACAGTTATACCATGTCTTGTTATTTACTCTGAAGAACTAAAGTCATCTTAAAGAGAGTGATAGATGCATACCCACTTTTATAGCACCACAATTCAGAAGAGCCAAACTATGGAACCAGTCTAGGTGTCCATCAATGGATGAATGGATAAAGAAAATGTGGCACATATACACAATGGAGTTTTAGTCAACCCTAAAGAAAAATGTAATTATGGCATTTGCAGGGAAAGTATGGCATTTTGCAGGAAGTTCCTAAATTCAAGACACATTTTGTGCCTTGTTGTTTTCTTTGACTTCTTATCAACTTGCAGGAACTAGAGACCATCATGTTAAGGGAAATCAGTCCAACTCAGAAGGTTAAGGGTGGTATGTTTTCTCTCATATGCGGAAGCTAGAGAGGAAAAAGGAAAACATCAGTGGGATGCATCTCCTAAAATTCAAAGGGAGTAGAAGAAAGGGACCAAGGACTGGGAGGCAGGGATGGAGAGAGGGGTAAGTGCTGGGGAGTGACATTGGCCACTGGGTTGTTATACTGTGTTCCTGTACAAATATGTAACAACAAATCCCATCAGTAAGCACAACCATAATGAACCAATAAAAAATGTGGGAAAAAAAGCAGTTCCACATGACAGGGCCGGCTTCTCTTCCCTGGAGCAGTGTCCCAGGGACTTGAAAGATCCTGAGCCCAGCAACTTGATGCCACCAAGAGACCAAGTCAAGAAGCACATTAGAGGCTGTTTGAGCCTCAAGTGGAGATCGAGCCTCACCGCTGCCTGCCAGCTAGCGTGGGAGGTTTTCTGTGGCTTGACGCTGACAGCTTTCTAACTGACAAGACAGCTTGCTCACTGAGACTCTGTGTCCTGTCACAGATACATGTGCGGAGGAGAAGGCAGTGACTGAAAGGTCTCCAGGAAGCCTGATCACGAGGCTGAGAACCTAATTCCACCGGGACTAGCACAATCAAACCCTTGGTGTGGACTTCGAAAACCTTTCCCATCACGTTAGAGCTGCCCTCCAAGGAGGAAGGCAAGCAGGTGGGGACAGAGGTGACCTGCCTGAGCCAGAGCCTGGGGGCAGGTGCAGGGGGAAATGCCAAGTTAGGGTTCAGATCTGCTTTCTTCCCCAACACACAGGAGGAAAGGTGTCAGCAAACCACAGCCCACCCAGAGGGAGGAGGATGTGACAGCCAGCGAGGGAGGGGCTCCAGACCACATCCCACAAGCAACAGCGAGGACATACAGAGAGACTCAGAGGGGAATGCGAGGGCACCATTCAGCCATTGGCAAGATAACAAGCCCCAGTGGATTGGGTTTGGCCACGTGGTTCCAGGAACTGGAATGCTAATTAATGGGTGTGCAGAATCAACTTCTTAACAAATGGCTCTAAGGATGGACTTTCACAAAATACAGTGCGTCCTCCATCCTTAGAGATGTCCAAGAAGCCTGGCAGCAAACCTCCAACTTCCCAGACCTCAACCCCACCAAGAACCTTGACAGCTCAGGGATTCTGGAATATAGTGGAAATGAAAGGCAATTTCCCCAGAATCCAAGTGGATCTTGTGTTCTATTCTGACTACTCTGGAACCATACCCTTGGCCAGACTTTTCCAGGGCCAGTAAGAGTCTCCAGCCCAGCTATTCCCAAAATAGTGGTTTTGTGGGACAAATGCGAAAGCAAAAAGAAAAGGTTCTAATGCTACAGAAAGTTTGGGAAGCATGGGCTTAAATAACATTGCTCTAGTTTTAACTCTCAGAGCCTCTAATATGCTCTAGGTATTTTGATACTTCCAACGGGGTAGCATATGAAACAATTTCCAAATCTGCATGACTATAAAGACCTGGGTGTTTATAAAATATTTCTGAAGGCCAGAGTTTTAAAGCACACACAATATGAAACTCTGCTCTAATCTGTTTCAAAGTTTCTAAGGCAACTAGTCCAGAACTTGGGCACAACCAAATAATAAATTCATCCTTCAATTCAATAATATTGTACCTCTTGGGACCCTCTCGAAAAAGACATCACAAGCAACAGGGGAAGAAAAAGCAGTCAGAGAAAGAAATACCCCAGAGAAGATGGAAAACCAGCTTCAATGACAGGAGAAAAAGAGAGAGAATATCTTCTCACCTCAGAAGGATTGACGGGGATCCCACGTGCACCCCATCAATCCTTTCTCTGAACTGCCACCCAACACAAGCCTGCCTGTGCATTTCGTCCTCTCTGGACTGTGACTGTCAAGCGCAGCTTCCGGCTGTTACCTGAGCAGCCAGCCGTCAGGTTCGTCTGGGGCCTGCTGGTCTCCAGTGCGCTCACACCATCAGCCCGGGCTTCCTGGGAGGGAGCGGGACGGGAGAGGACAAGCACATCCCCCTCAAGGAAACCAGCCAGGGCTGGCCAGAGAGGGAGCAGCCCAGTGATTTCTGGGCCCTGGTTCTGTTTGAGGGGAATGGAAAGAAAAGACTCTTGTTTCTCTCACTGTTCGCCTGGGTGACAGTTACCATGGATATAAATCAATTTTTGGAGCCTGTCAGTCGCCAGTTGAATATAAAGAGCCTGCTCCTACAGAGCCACAGGCAGGCAGGCAGAGACACACTCAGGGACGGAGGCGGACACAAATTCAGGTGTGGACACAGGAGTGGACACAGGCAGGCGCCTGGCTCCCCCCATCCCAGGAAGAAGTAACTTGACTAGGTACTATGTCACTAGTACACAGGACACCCAGAACTCTGAAGGACACCCTCCAGAATGACCAAAGAAAGTATCCAAAATAAGCCCTGAGAGTGGGCCTCCTAATGCCTCGATTTCTTTCTTTCTTTCTTTTTTTTTTTTTTGGTACCATGGATAGAACCCAGGGACACTTAACCACGGAGCCACATCCTCAGCCTTTTCTTTGTATTTTATTTTGAGACAGGGTCTCACTAGTAGCCCTTGCTACTAATGGCTCCAAATTAAGACTGTCCAAACCTGCACTAGCTATTGGCAGCACAGGCACTTTTCATACTGACTCATTTACCCTACAACAAATCTTGGGGTGGATCTTCTTGTTATCCCCACTGTTCAGATGAGAAAATTGAGGCTTAGAGAGGTCTCCCGACTTGTACTGGTAGGGTCAGGATTAAAACCCAGCCTGTCCTGTTCTTTAGCAGTTGATATACATGGTCAGGACTTCCGGGATCCAGACCCAGCTTCACCCCTGAGGCCTCAAACAAATCATTACAGTTCCTGGAATCCCACTTTCTCACCCCTAAAAGGGGAATAAGAATATTTCCCCTGCTTATGTCCTAGTACTGTCATAGGAATCATATATAAGGCAATCCAAATGGAGAGAAAGCAAGAGAAGAGAGGAAGTTAACATTCATTAAGTACCTACTATGTGCCAGGGCAGTCACATGATTGTGGACGATGACTTATCTCTAATTCTGCAAGCAAGGATAGAAACCCAGGAAGAAAGCAGGAGTCAAAGACCTCCAGGGTCAGGAAGCCCAAGAGTCTGGATTCCAACAGAGGTCTGTTTGTTTCCAAAATGTTTGGTTTTTGTGTTGCTTTTTCTTTTTTGTTTTGTTTTTGTTCACCAGGACGTCACAGGCATGAAAACTAATGACCTGTTCACATTAATGACCCATGTCCCCTTGGGCCTTTTGTCTTCTGGAATCCTCATTTGCTGGAATTTGGGTGTGTCTTGACTCACTGGCCACAGAAAGACTGCAACTTCCCACTTCTGCACCAGAGCCCCTGCTTCTCACCCTGCTACCACCCCCACTGCTGCTGCCCCACATGCTGCCAGACAGCCACAAATGCTGTGTGGCTCTGGGCAAAGCCCTTGACCTCTCAGATACCAGTAACTTCATATCTAAATGGGGCTAGAACCAGCACTGAAGATCTCCATGGCAAAACTCAAAGCCTCTCCCCACCCTGAGGTGGCTGGCCTGCTGCACAAACCTGGCTCGAAGCTCAGCTGCAATCCTGCTGAAATGTCTCCGTGCTCAGGTTGTCCTGAGGCTTCATTGTTAAACACAGGTGGACACTTGTCGTCCTCTCTGAGAACAGTGGATAGCTCATTCTTGTGGTGACAGTAAAGAGCAAATATCTCATAATCATCTCGTGCTGATCTTCCTCACAAGGCTACCGGCAGCCAGCCTCCTCCATCCCTCCATCCCAACCAGCCGGCTTTGAAGTATTGACTGCCCATAGCAGAGCAATGTCCCTTTAAGGGCAACACAGGGCACTGCTTCCCTGGCAGCACGTTCAGCACACACGCTGTTCCTAGGGTGCGTATGGTGGGAGCAGGAGGATAAGAGTATAAAGGAACGAGATGGCCTCATGGCAGATTACAGGCAGGGGAGAAGAAAGACGGAGGGGGAAAGAGAAAGAAAGAACTGCTCAGTTATGTGTTTGAATGTGGTTGGTCCCCACCCCAAACCCATGTCAAAATGTAATTCCCATTATGAGATATTCAGAGTGCAGACCAGGTGGGACCTTTAAGAGTCAATTAGGAGCTGGGCATGGTGGCCCAAGCCTGTGATCCCACTGGCCCAGGAGGCTCATAAATTCAAAGCCAGCTTCAGCAATGGTGAGGCACTAAGCAACTCAGTGAGACCCTGTCTCTAAATAAAATACAAAATAGGATTATGATTGCTGTATGTATATAGGTGACTCTTTGACCAGTGTGATTCTGCAATCTGTACAATTAGAAAAATGAGAAATTATACCCCAATGAATCAAATGTATGAATTGCCCATTGTAATGTCATGTGTAGCTAATAAAAAAATAAGTTAAAAAAATATGAAGGGTTAAAAAAAAAATACAAAATAGGGCTCAGTGGCTGAGTGCCCCTGAATTCAAACCCTAGTACCAAAAAAACAGAAAACAAAAACCAAGGCAATTAGGGCTTTGCCCTCATGAATGGATTAATCCATTTACATAATTAATGGATTAATGTGTTATTTCAACTATAAAAGTCAGTTTGGTTAGGTCTCTCACCAAGTGATTCCCTATGCCACCCTGGGACTCTGCCAGCAAGAAGGCCATTGTCAGATGTGGGCCCTTGACCTTGGACCAGGACCATGAGAAAAATAAACTTTTTCCTTTATGATTTATAGAGGCTGAGATTTTGTGTTATCAGCAACAGAAAATGCACAATGACAACAGCCCTGTCTAGAATTTGCTATGTCAAGGGAAAAAAATGTCAATTAACTATTAAAGAGAGCCTCTTGATGGGAAATAAATGAAGACGGGGGGACACATGTTCTTAAGATTGGAAGGTGGGCACTGTGAGGTGTGCCTGTGGTTCTTGCCCTCGGGAGACTGAGGTAGAAGGATCACACCCCAGAATTCCAGACCAGCCCAAACCAGAGAGACCCTGCCTCCAACAAAACAAAAACTTTAAAATGCAGATTGAAAGAAGTGACTTTGAAATTCATGCAGTCATCAAGGCCTGACTCTAGGCCTTGATCTAATTTCATAACATCCCTGAGGTTTTTTATAAGTGTCTGCATGGTGCTGGTCCCTGGAGGTATTACAGACTTCTATTTCATCTTCGTAGCCATCCTCTGAGTTGCTCTTATATTCATGTTGTAGAAGAGAGTACTGACGCTCACAGAGTGGCTTTCCAAAGACCACAGAGTAAGTGCGGGAGATGGGATCCTCGCCATTCTAACTTCAAAGTTTCATAATGCTCAATTCAGGCATAGGAAAAGCCCCGCCAGGGCAGCTTGTGCTATAAGGGCCTGGAGGGGTGGGGGGCATTCACAGTAAGAGGCCACAGAGCTTTAATTTGTACTTTTTTTTTTTTAAGCAGACTGACCCATTTGTTTTCATTGGTTTATTTTTAATATTGAAAGATCCGATTAACAAATAGTCCAGACATGGGAACATTTCTTAAAATCTGATAATCCAAAAAATATTATATTTTTGCCCGTTTGCTTAATGTTTTTAATGACAAGCAACTTGAGAGCTTAAAAATATAATATTAATTTTTAATATAATTTTTCTACTTACAGACTTAAATTTGCACACTTGTAGACTTTGAATTTTTTTTTAAATTGGCATTGTTTATGAAATTTCTCAGACCAGATGTTACAAATGTCTCTGAAATGCAGTAAGCTCTCCTGTGAAACCTATAGGGCACAAAATATGGGTACCATTTCTCTCTCCTGCACTCTTGGGGAACAGACAGCCCTTGCATTATAAGATGCCTTGGGGTGGGGATAGTATGATCTTATTTTTGTATATATATATATATAAAACATTGATTTTGCTTACTGTTATGGTTTGGATATGAGAGGTCCTCCAAAAGCTCCTATGGTGATTCAGGATGTTCAGAGGTGAAATGATTGGATTGTGAAAGCTGTACTTTGGTCAGTCCATCCTACAGTGAATGGACTGACTGGTGGTAACTGTAGACAGATGGGGCATGCCTGGAGGAGGTGGGTCACTGGGGGTTCATCTTCCCTGTGGCCCCTCCCTCTGCTCTCCTACTCTCTGCTTCCGGACCCCCTCCAACCCCTGCCATGAGCTGAGCAGCTTTGCCCCGTGTTCCCTTCCCCCATGAGGTACTACCTCACCTTGGGCCCACAGCAACAGAGTCGGCCATCTATGGGCTGAGACCTCTGGAATTGTCAGCCCCAAATAAACTTTTCCTCCTCTAGGTTGTTTTTGTTGGGTTATTTTGGTTACGGTGACGAAAAAGCTGACTAAAACACAGGGGATGATGAGAGATTTCCATTTCCACTGGTATTTCAAGGCTTTCTATGGTGAACATGGATTATTTATACACAATGGGACAAAATACATGGAAAAAATATTTTCAGACACTGGACAATAGGCAGCCCATGAGTCCTAAGAGGAAGAAACAGATGAAGTGAGGCCCACAAGAACACCAGCTTTCTGCAGAGTCACATTCCAGTCCACAGAGCAGAGAATGCGAATCCCAATCTAATTGTGTTGAAGAGAAAAAGATTGGAGTTCAGAGAAGGGGAGACAACTGAAAGTCCTGGAAGATAGTTCTGGAGAAGAGGGAGGTAGCCAGAAAAACTGCTCCCCAAGAATCTGCTTAGAAGTCCCCAATATAGGGTTGAGGATGTATCTCAGTTGGCAGAGTACTTGCCTCACATGCACAAGGTCCTGGGTTCAATCCCCAGTACCACAAAAAAAAAAAAAAAAAAAAAAAAGAAGTCCCTGATCTTCAGTGAAAACTAAGATGTGCACAGAAAAGGTCAGACAAAGAGCTACTGAAATACAGTGAATTGAATGAGTTACAACTAGTCAGAAAGGGGAGTTCTTGTTGATAACTCAGGACATTCATATCATAAGCCCCAGAGCCATCTCTTTAAAAATAAAACAAAGAAGAAGAACTAACAAACCAATAGTGGTGATACTGTGGAATTTTTAAAATACTCAATCCAAAATTCATAAAGAAGGGAAAAGGGGGAAACAAAGAATAGATGAGACAAAAGAAA